GCCCAGCATCCTTTGAAACGCTTTGAGCGGGCGAGCGGTACCGATCTTGAAGGAGGTCGCCAGCCTCCGCATGGCCAGAGCTCATTCTGGCATGACTACAGCTTTCATTTGAGCCGAGTCAAAGATTGTTACCAGGAACGAGATTCGTTGGCTGGGAAGCAATGAGTTTTTGGCAAAATTGACCCTGAGTCCCAGGCACTCCAGGTGGCTGAGGAGGAGGGCTCTGTGAGATATTAGTTCTGCCTCCGACTGGGCCAGGACGAGCCAGTCATCGAGGTAATTGACAATACAGACTCCCATCTGTCTCAGAGGGGAAAGAGCCGCATCCATGCACTTCGTAAAGGTGCGGGGGGCCAGGGACAGCCCGAAGAGAAGGACCGTATATTGATAAGCCACACCCTCGAAGGCGAATCTCAAGAATGGCCTGTGACGAGGGGCTATCTGGATGTGAAAGTATGCATCCTTCAGGTCCAGGGAAAAGAACCAGTCTCTCGAGCAAATTTGCGCGAGGATCTGTTTCAGTGTAATCATCCTGAACGACCTCCTTATGAGGGCGCGATTCAGGTGTCTGAGATCGAGGATGGGTCGGAGGCCACCATCACTTTTGGGGACGAGGAAGTAACTGGAGCCTTTTCCACGGCTCCTTTTGCCAGCAAATTCATAACCTCTGAGCGCAGTCCTCTGAGCGCAGTAACCTGGGGTGTCCTTGCTCTGCACGGAGGTGGGGATCATGCCGCTGAAGCGCGGGGGTCTTCGAGCGAATTGGAGTGAATATCCTCGCTTTATTATGCCCATAACCCATTCCGACACCCCGGGGATGGCCTGCCAGTCCTCGGCCGGCATGACGAGGGGTTGAATTAACTCGGGTGACTGGCCGCATGGGGGCAGAACACATACGAGTGATGGAAGAGGAAGTTTGCGCTTTTTTTGAAAATGTTTGTGTTTTATTATTTTTCCCGCTATCACAGCAGCAGAGCTGGAGCGCTTAGGCAGGAAATGTCGCATAGCCTGGGACGATTTCTGTGCCTCTGTGAAGCGTTCAGCAAACCCTTTGACCGCTGGGCCCAAAAGGCTCTTGGGGGAGACAGGCGCATCGAGCGTCAGCGTCAGCCATAAATGGCACCACAAGGCTGGCCATCGATCTCCCAATCGCCTGGGTGGTGGTCTTGGTGGGGCGTAGAGACAGGTCCGTCGAGCTCCTCAGATCCCTGAGGGTAGCGGGGTCCAGGCCAGACTCGGCGGATGCGAGGATTTTGGCCTGGAAGACCTGAAGGACAGCCATAGAATGAAGTGCCGCGGCCGCCTGTCCAGCTGAGGTGTAGGCGCGTCCAGCGAGAGCTGAAGTAGTCCTACACGGCTTAGACGGGTGAGTGGCTTTTGCTCTCCAGCCAAAGGCTGTGGGCGGGCAGAGATGCGCGGCCACTGACTCATCTAGGGGAGGCGGCTTATGGTACCCCTTTTCTTCAGTGCCGTTGATGGAGGTGAGGGCGGATGAAGAAGCAGTACAGAGGCGGGCGGAGTATGGAGCGCGCCACGATCTGGTGAGCTCATCGTGGACCTCTGGGAAGAACGGAGAGGTACGCTGATGAGGGGCCTGTCGGCACCCTGGCAGGAACCATTCATCCAGACAGCTGCGAGAGGGCTCCTCTGGAGGGGACCACTCTAAACCCAGCTCTTCGACCACCTTGGAGAGGATACGGAGAAGCTCGGTATCCGTCCCGTCTTTGGTGGCGCTGGGCGCGGATGAGTGAGCTCGCTCGTGGCCGATCGCTCGACCCCTCTGCCCCGCTGTTTTTTCCTCACAGATCCCTGGGAGGAAGAAAACGGGAGGCCGCGGGGGGCGGAGTCGCTCTCTGAAAAGTAAGCGATCTGTGAGCGGAGAGTGGCGAGTCTAAAACTCTCGCAATGAGAGCAAATAGCTCCTGTGAGTGCAGCTTCCGCATGGGGTTTCCCCAAGCAGGAAACGCACTCCGTGTGGCTGTCATCGGCGTGCAGGGGAGACCCGCACAAGCCGCAATAACGGCGCGGCATTTGCAACAACGCCGCTGCTCTTTTAGAAGCTCTTTGAAGTCGCCGGATGGCGGCAGAGGAAACGGACCGGAACTGCTGGAGAGCGGAGAAGCAGGGCAGCCAAGCTGAGAGGTCCCGATTCCAGCTGCGAAGGCATGTCAACGGCGAGCGGCTTCGGATCAGCTTGAGACGTAGAGTCGTCGCTGAAGGAGAAGAAATCTGAGAATCCTGTGGCGAGCGCCCACTTATATATCCAGATGCCCCGCCCATTCTGGCGGGCTTTGGCGAGCTTCATCGCCATAGGCTCGTGCAGCTCCACTGCCACAACATTGGTTCATTTTTAAAGCCCTACATGAACCAAGCCCATGAAATAGGCTTCAATTCAGGAGAAAAAAGGCTTTTTTCCCTTATGCATCTAGCAGACGCAGTACGAGTGAAGTATCGAAAGGGAACACTAGTTTATCAATAGATTATGTTAATGCAGTTTAATCTTACTGTTTTCCCCTGACACATTCATCATCATTACTTCTGCCTGTGTGCTGTGGCAAGCTTTATGCGTGCGCTTGAGCGCTTATTAGGCTACGTAGAAAATTAAAGGCTTATTAGCATGATTTAAATGGTTTATTAATAAACGTGCGATTAGTCGACTAATGCTTAAAATGAGCGACTACTAGTAGACCAGAAAATTCTTTAGTCAAGGGCAGCCCTAGTATTTGTGCACCTTCTTTCATACACAGTACAAGCCTGCGACTCCCCTCAGTACACTCTAATTGTTCCAAGCCATAGCAGGCAGGTTCAAACAGGGCCATTTATCTTCCAAGGCAAAGGAAATGGTCTTTGGCCTTGATCTTTAATCACTCCCCTGCCGCAGTGTGCAAGGTCATGAGAGAAGTGGTGACAAACAGTCGTACAGAACTGCCCTCGTCACGCTGAGAGAAAATTAGAGAGCGACACGGGCCCAACAGGATGTTTCAATTACAGCCCGAGATCAGGATAGGAAAAAATTAAGCGTCCAGTTACTGCGTGTGCTCCGTGTGTAATGGAGATGCAGAGGAAAAGGGAAATCTGGACAGAGACCCACAGGACAGAGAAAAGGCAGAGAGGGGCAAAGGACAGAGGATTGGAATCCACGATGATTATACAAAAGTCTGTTATCCAAGAAGAAGAGATTTCGCTGCTAATGCGGAACTCTACGTAATTTGAGATTTGAGGCAAATTTCTGAAAAGATCAAAATGGGAAATGAAAGGATAAGCCAATTTTGGAACACTCCGAAGAAATCAACTGCTAAAGTCATTGTAGACAACGAAGAGTTCCAAATCATTCCAAACCCATATTACTCATGTGTAAGATAAGAAAATGCAGGATATCTGAGATGCTCTTTTGCAAACAATGAAAATAAACTCAATCAAACCATAAAAGTAGACCATACGACAAGTCTTCTTGCTTTTAAATCCATCATGGCACTACATTTGTGGAAAGCAATTAATTTTGTCCTTATTTTTCAATCAAAATCTAATCGTACTTCGTCAAGACAGACCCAAATCACAACCTGTAAAGCTGGACATGAATGTAAATGCTCTTTTAGTTCTTCTAAAAAAGCAGCTATTTCATTAGCTTATTTAAGCAGACATCTATGAGCTTCCAAACCTTCCTCCAGACAGCAGCCACATTCAGACAATAAATCATTCTTGAGATGTTTCATTACAACATCAGAAAAAGACGGCAGTGTGTTTACCCTGTGCTTATATACTTACTGTCATTCTCTCGCGTCATAGAGAGGCTTAATGTGAGCGGTGCTGAAAGATGGTCCTCACTGCAGAACACAAGATCCAGGGGGCGAGGTTGGATCCAGATCCAACTCCTCCCACCTTACATATACCTAAACCTACCTGTCTCCACCCCCTGATCCCTAAACCTACCATCTCCACCACCTAGATGTGGATCCAACCCCACCCCCTGGATCTTTGTTCTGCAGTGAGGGGCTACTGGGTGCTGATCTGAATACTGATCCTGCAGGGAGTCTGAGCTCAAAGGGTCTTTCAGTGAGCACAATGTGGGATTCAGCCCTCAACGGCTACCATTCACATCTACTCCAGCAAAGCCACAAAAAGACCTATACTGAAACTGAGGGACATGATCAATAATGATAATTCCATTAATCATAAAATCAAGTATGACCACATGTTGAGCATATAATGGTTCCTAGAACTGAATGATAATAAACCTAAAATGCACACTCTTCCATAGCTCTGATAGTGCTTTTCATTTTAGTGAAATGATACATTTTGATCTCACCAATTAATATGAATACATTTTTGTTGTTAATTACATAAATAATAATTATAGTTATTACATGTATAACTAATACTATTCAACAATTACTGTACTTCCTGTCCTCAATACAATTGGCTGAGTGGCATTCCAAGAGTGCTGATATACAGTCCTGCATGCACAGGGACTTGACACTGTTTTTATCAGTCGACTCTTCTGGATTTACTTATTTCAGGCAGAATGTCATTCTGACAGTCTCTGAATGATTTACTCAATTACTTCAAAATAAAAACTGATTCATTCAGCAGGGTTGTTTTGTTTGGAACGGTTTTGTTGACTGAGTAAAAGTTGACAAATAACTGGCAATACTGTCTAAAATGTAAACTGTATTGGTACTACAGATCTAACTTAATCACTTTTGGGGCCAGTATAATACATTTTAGGGACTCTAGGTACAGATTAGTCTGATGTTTTTTATTAGCAGTTTTTAGTTAAGATAACTGTCACAGTCTTGTCATTGTCTTACAGTCTTTCCTGTTTGACCTATAGTTTTCCCTCATGTGTCTGATTAGTTATCTCTCTCCCCTATCATTGTTAATTATCTTGTTAGTCCTGTCTTATTTAAACTCTGTGTTTGGTCCCAATGTTTGGCCGGTCTCGTCTGTTTTATGTGGATAACGTGGATTATACCCTGATAGTTGGTTTATTAAATATTATTGAACTCTTCTTCTTCGTCTTTATTAGGTTGCTACACACACACCGTGTGACAATAACTCACTGTTAAAAATTTTAGTGTGAAATTACTGTATATTCCAGGTTAATAACTCTCAGAAATTTCTTGTAAACAAACAGCATCATACTGTGTTTCTACAGTGCAGATGTACTATGAAGGCACCAAGCATGCAATGCAGCATGAATAGATCATGCTGTAGAGTTTTGTTTTATTATTCTTGTTGGTTTTTTTTGTGCTATTGAACTTGTTTTGGTTCACTTTTAGCAGTTTGTGTTGTTGGTTTATTTTGTAATGTTGGTTGATGTTGTAAGTGTTGTTTTTATTTGTTGAGTGTTACCATTGTTGTGTTTTTTATGTCGAGTATTGATGTCACATCTTTCAAAAATGTATCTCAGCAGTTGCTTCACTATTGTGAAAGATTCATCCACAAACGGTTATGAATATGAAATAAGTTATTGATTAATCTTCATGCTTAAATACTGCGAAAATAAAATCTTTACGTTCATGTTAAGAATAGTTTGACTATCTTAAAGTCAGGCATTTAGTTTATTTCAGATTCTAGCGTGTCATCATTTTGACAAATGATTTCATTTGTCACACTTCTGACATGACTAGATCAGAAATTTTAATATGAATATGCAAGGTCAAAGAGCCCCAAACAAATGGGATCACCAATCACAGTTATAGTGACTTCAAAACAATTACAGTAGTAAACAACTAAATTTCTCACAGTGGCACACATAACGACAACTTTATAATGTGAATTCACAGTACATTACTGTGATGTTAGCATCATTCTGCTGTTCATTCACAGTAATTTGTAAGAAAATGACCCAGCATGCATTGATTTCACAGTAAATTTCTGACTACAGTAATTTATTGTAAAATAATACTCTTTAATTCCGTAAATTCTTGGCAATTTTTTACAGTGTACATTTGTGAAATTGTATCTTGACAGTTGAACTACTTTTAATCATGAATAGTTTGACAACTATACTATCAAAGTTACTTTCCCAATAATTGTTTACACAAGCTGTTGTATGGGCTTTGTGTTACATTCTTACATTAATACCGCTATTTGTTTTTGTAACACCTTTAGCTCCTCAGTGTCAGGGGAGCTGAGATAGATTGAGGCGATTGTGTGCACTCATACAGAGCAGAGGATTTTTGCTTCCCTGGGCCACATGTTCGCACACATCCCCTGCATGCTTTTTTTCTAATGAGCCCTTCACCCTCGAAGTCTCCCATCCATCTGCTACCTTCATGTAATTGGGACCACCAAGCTGTCCCAAGGCACCCAGCATCCATCTCTCTGTGTGCAGCATGAGAAAAAGACAGTGAAGTGAAATTACCACGTAGATCGCAAACAAGTACCTCATTGCTGCTGACCTTTACATGATTCTAATGTGCCCATCTGCAGGCAACCACTGTGGAGCCATAGGGCAATGAAGTTCAGGCTGAAGGGACAACATATAGGTATTGTTGTGCGTGTGAATTGCTATAAAGCAGCTACATCCTGGGATCATAAAATGGCTTTTGCAGGGATTGCAGAGGCTCTGAAGTGACAGCTGTCTGTGAGACTTCAAATGA